ACCTTGTTGGCCAAGGAGGCAGCGGGGATGCCGTTTCTCACCGCCGCTGCTTGCGTTGCCCAAATCGCATCTGCCGTGAAACGGCCTGCTGCCACCGCGAGCAAATAAAGGAGGAATTTGACTCGCTAGTAAAATTAGCTGTTGCCAAGCAGAGCCCGACCCAGCGACACGGGTGATCACACGTATCACGCAGCGTGAGCCTGGCAGGGCTGCACAAGGGAAGAGAAGAGCGGCTTCTCACCGCCGCTGCTTGCGTTGCCCAAATCGCATCTGCCGTGAAACGGCCTGCTGCCACCGCGAGCAAATAAAGGAGGAATTTGACTCGCTAGTAAAATTAGCTGTTGCCAAGCAGAGCCCGACCCAGCGACACGGGTGATCACACGTATCACGCAGCGTGAGCCTGGCAGGGCTGCACAAGGGAAGAGAAGAGCGGCCAAGGCTTGGCCACGCTGCACCAGAAAGCTGCCGTGAGCGAGGAAGGGTGCAGCCCTCCGCCCGGGGGGGGGGGATTGGTGCAGGGCTGGGGTGAGCTTCTCCCTCCCACCCCCCGTCGCCCCACGAGGAGCCCCCAGAAATAGGCTCCAGTTAAACGCTCTCCGCTAGTTCCTGCCTGCAAACTTTGTGCCTCCTCCCCTGCCTGCATGCACACACACACATGCATAGGCACATGCATGCATAAGCACATACACATGCAAATGCACACACATGCATGTGCACACACATGCACATGCATAGGCACATACACATGCAAATGCATGCACTTGCACGTGCACACACACATGCATAGACACATGCATGCATATCCATGTGCACACACGCACGCATAGGCACATACATATGCATGTGCACACACATGCATGGGCACATACACATGCATATGCGTGCACATGCATGTGCACACATGCACGCAAAGGCACATGCGTATGCACGTGCATGCATGTGTGCACACACATGCATGGGCACATGCACACATAAGCACATGCACATGCATGCACACACACGTGCACATGCATAGGCACACGCACGTGCACATACAGGTGCATGCACACGCACACACACGCACGCACGGGCCCACGCGGACGCGCTGGCTGCCCACGGCCCC